CTAACAAACAAAGACTGTTGTTTTCCCCACCACAATTTGTCTGTTGCTGGTTGGCCACAGTCCTTGTGAACTATAAACTTTCTGTTGTTTGTAGCTGTCGCCATTCCCATTTGATCTCCTGCTGAAGGAATTCCATAAATACCCAAATGCAGACCTTGTTTGGTGTCAAGAAGAGCACAAAAATCAAGGATACTATGATTACGTGAAGCCCAGACTCCGCACAACCATCGACCGGGCAAAGCCAGTGTGGTAAGGACCGCCTTCTGACACTCAGGTGCCAGATCAGTGGGTGGAGGCCAAGCTTCAGATATTTGCTCTGGAGGTAGATACAGTTGTGGCGGTCATTCCTTCCACTCACTCTTCTTGGCCGGTAGGGGAGTGGAACGAAACGTCAAACTGAGCTAGCGAGTGACAGAGTGTCAGTTGGAAAATGACTATTGAAAGACTCTGAGAGACAGAGGGAATGAGATGTGACCAAAAAATATTTATTTATTCAATTTGTACACTCATCTTCTTTCGGAGATTGCAGGGTGGTTTGCAAAATAAAATTGCAAAACGAGAACACAAAACATGTAGCGGAAACACACAAGCAAGCAAACCAATAAACCCATATAAAAGATTATATACTGTTAAAGGCCAAAGGGCTGGTTATAATAGAGAAATGTTTGTTTACCTTCTTTTTTTTTCCAATTATTAATCTATCCCACTTTCCAAGGCAGCTTACAAGTAACATAAATTTGCATATTTTGAGAACACAAACACCATTTACATATTTAAAAATCACCAAGATCCTTCCCACAGAACAGAGTAGTAGTGGTACTGCAGCTGCAGCAGGCTGGGAAAGTGTGTATAAAAGAGGACAGGTGTCGTGAAAATTAGGACAGTTGTTTTAAGTTGGGAAATTGGTATACTGTGGCCATCTTTTTTGTTTGGTATGGTACTTAAATGAATGTTTTAACTGTCTCTGCTCTGGTGTGGGTGGGTTCCAAGGTCTCTCCCTCCACATGCCTGGTGTGGATGTATTCGAGTAAGAACACAGAAAGAGCAGCATGGGTTGTGGCAGCAAGTATTTTAAGGGAGGTCTGGACTCAACCATCTGGGAACAGGCCTTGGTTAGGGGACCCTGGGAATGTCACAGCACTGTGCTCCGTATGTGGCTTACATAACCGGACATAGTGCTGGGACCTGAAGGGTATTGCCCCAGTTGCTGGTTGTGGGGTATAGAGCTGCACTGGGCACATAAATGACCTAAGCTTAAGTTGGAGGACCTTTCATGACCCAGCAGGCCAAATTCCTTATCCCCCACCCCCACCAGTTACATTGGGTAACGGATAGCTGAACAATCCTGCCCACCTATTGGAATTTGCCTATGGTGGGGGGAGAAGGGGGAACACGCTGGTGAAGCAGCATCTAGCAGGATTGAACCACACCCATTAGCTCCCATCACTCCAGTGATGTCAGTTGATTGACAGGTGTGCATGAAAATTGGACTGCAGGCTGGAGTTTCCCGTGGAAACCTTGTTTTAGCAAGAAAACTGGGGGAAGAGGGCAAAGAAGGTGTGGGGCAACCACTGCCAAAGAACACAGAAAACAAAAGACCCGCACGTGACTTTGTGGTAGCTGACCCAGGGGCAGAAAAGCACAGGGCTGCAGGGCCCAAAGTACATTCCCGGTCTTGAACTCTGCCAGTCCCATATAGGGCCAGTGTGACTGCAGATGAGCAGTTAAAGGACACCAGCTACAAATTGCCATCTTTCTCTTTCTCCTTTCCACATGCTAGGTATGCTGGACGTGAACCTGCTGCCGCACCAGCCACAGGCAACAAAAAGAACCACCTGACTGAGCTGCAGCGCTTTTTGGACACTGCCTTCAACCTCGACTCTTTCAAGGGCTTGTCTTAAATACTCTTGGACTGGTTTCCGCAGCGCACTGTGTGTGTTTCTCTGTTTGCTCACTTCCTTTCTATGTCCTTAACTATAGACCTTGTAAGCTAACTTAAGGCGCCTGTTATTAATCTCTTGTTTGCTCTTGAGGAACTGCCTCTTCAGTGACCCTGTCCAGAATGCTCGTGTTAGGTTTTATCTTCTGTGTGCTGTAGATCAAACTTCTGGAACAGTGGGTTATCACTCCAGCACAAGCCCATGTCCTTTCTGAGAACCCTGGGACTAACCAGCCCCAATCCCCAGAATGAGGGATTTAGAGGGACTGGTATTTGCCTTCCAAACAAATGTCTCTCTCTTGAGACTGTGATGACTCCAGATGATGCCCGAGTCATTGTCTCCAACCCAACAGTGATTCAGGAGGCAGGCGTTGCTTTTAAATCACAAACACAAAAGTGCCCACCTGGAAGGACGAGGGGAATGATGTCTTTTCATTCCCTTTTGATCTGGCATAACTCTTCAATTGTGTAATGAGATTAGATTCCCTTTCCTTATGCACGACAACCCTAGTACTGAAAATCCTGGGCTAGCACCCTAAATCACTGCTGCTGTTTCTTGTGGTTTAGCAGCCTAGCATTACCCATGCTGAATACACGCACAGACAGCTCAAATTCAGGCACTCTTCTTCCAGGAGGGGTCCCTCCCCCTTTAAGGAAGAAGTTATAACTCAGCCCAGGCATTAATCTGTTTGCGGGAGGGGCGTGCTCTTTTCAAAACTGCCACCATTTGTAGTCCTAATATCCCTTCCTGGGTAGGAACTTGGTATACAGTGGACACTAAATAATCTTTTATATAGTCACCAAAGCCACTTCTCTTTCAGCCTCCAGGTTTGCTTAGCTTTCAGGTTCTGACCAAGAGAAAGCTACACTTGGGAATAAAAAAATACCCACAAACTAATGTTTTGTATAGGAAAATGTTGGGACTGATACTTAGATCACACTCTTGTCTATAATACCACATGTAGAGCAAAATTTGAGTCTCTACTATTACTTGAGCAGAAGTTAATGTTTCCCCCCTCTTCATGGGCTATAGTCACATTGCACTTTTTTTTCCTGAGTTTCACGCAAATGGGAATCCACCTTTGGTGCACACCTCTTTCATAAATTACTTCCATAATGATTATTTCAGTCTTAACTTTGAGTTTAGCAATGCTTTTAAAGGACTTCTTGTGTATATAGAATTGGCGGGTGAAGTATTTTTTTTTTTAAAGAAAAGACCTATTTTCTGTCATTGCAAAACTTTTGGATGAGGCCTGAGTTGCAACAACTTAGCATAATTGATATGTAGCCTGCTAGAAACATTTTTATGTCGGTGTCTCTGACCTCCACAGAGCTTTCTAGCAAGATATATACATTGGAACCTCAGGTTATGTTAACCTCGGGTAACGTAAACTTCGGGTTGCGAAAGCAGGAAACCTGGAAGTGTTTTGCCACATGCGCAGAAGCGGTCTACTGCCATGTGCGCATGCGCAGAAGCAGTCTCTCCGGTTGCGAAAACTTCGGGATACGGCCGGACCTCCGGAACGGATCCCGTTCACAACCGGAGGTACCACTGTACTTGTCCCAGGAGGCTCAAACATGGATATAAACACCCAGTTTCCTTGTCGCTGGATAGATTCTTTCCCTGTGTTCTCCTAGCTCTATGCTTAGACTGTGTGAGCAGAGTTTAGGACGGCATGCACTTCTTCTATGAAGTAGCTTGTACCTACTTCTCATTGGCTTTCTCCTGAATTACACAGCTTCTCAAACACAGCCCTAATTGGGGAGCGGGGAGAGACACAGTGAAACCAATTATACATTATGGCTTTAAGAAAAGGGTTTTGAGGTAGTTCCAAGGATCTTTTCGGTGAACCTCCCTAACTTTATGTTGCTGTAGTCTTCTGCCTTTCTGGGGCCCCTCGGGTGTTGGGGCTTTCCTCGCCGTTGCCTGAGCAGGGCCCCTCTCAGTAGGTAGTGTGCTAACAAGATAGCTCCAAATTGATCCCACGTGAGATTTCTTACTGCTTCCTCATCTGTGTGCACACTGGAATATACTGACTGATCTTAGGAATGCTGATGTCATTTATCTTCCGCCTGCAGTCCAGAGGCTCAAGCATGGCCACAGTCAACTCTCCTCTACTTTTTGTGGCCTTTGCAACAGGAATTGATGCCATTTCTTGGCTCTCGCTCTCTTTTTTTAACCCATTGCTGATATCTGGCAACTGCTTTCAATCACAGTAATTACACAGTGGTCTGCCAGTGATAGAATGTACCTCAGTGCTTTGGCTGTCCCTTCCTTTTTTCCCCCCTCCGTGCGGTCATCACAATGTCATTTGGTGGCAATGGCAGCAATGACTTGATTGGCAAGGCTGTTGAAGAGAGAAATTCTGAACTAGGTTGAGCCTACCCTCTTGGACAGAACTCATAGCATGCGCCCGCTGTTGCACTTCCGCCTAAGCCTGTTTCTATTCTGTGTCAATCTCCTGAGCTTCTGAATGTGGTCTGTGTATGCTGCCATGCCATGTCACGTCAGAGCTTTCCCATCCCTCAGAGAAAAGAAAACCTTAACATCTTTGCTGTCTTTGACAGGAGATGTCCAGCTCTATATTCATCTGGCTGACCCCTGGGCATTACTGAGAGACATACAGCTTCCTCCTGTCCCCATCTATCTTCTGTGTGTGCTGCCAGCCATACCAAAAGAGTGTGCCATCTTGTGAATAAATACTTTTCTATAATCTAAGAATCTGTGCTGCTTCACTAGTGGGAACAGCACATTCCAAAAGTGATGCCCACTGTTTGGGGGTAGGCTGTCAACAAAAGGGTTTATGTGGGACTGCAATATTTGTTCTTTAGCTCTGCAGAGAGAGAGAAAAATCCTAGTGTCTAACCTTTGCCAAAGCCAGGGGCCAGTGGAGAGAGGGAGGTTGCCTGTTCAGGGCTAGCGCTACCCTAGGGCTCCCCTCAAACTCACAGCCTGACTTTTATTTATTTTGGTTTTAAAACAAAAACAAAAAATCAGACATGTCTGGCTTAAACAATAAAGCCTGATCTTCTTCCCAAAGTGTCTCCAGCTTGCTCAGTTGTCCGAGATTCATTTTTTCACCCAGTGCAAATGACACAAGCCCCTGTTGAGGGCAGGCGGGATGGAAACCGGGAAGGGCCAATTCCACCAGCAGCCTTGCACACTCCTGTGAAAACGTATAAAATGACTTGAGCAAGAGTCATAATCTGTGCTTATCTGAAGCTATTTATTACAGTTGGTGCTCAATGAGCACATCCTGACCCTGGTCTGAAGACCATCCATCCCCAAGTAGGCACACTAAAAGCTTAAACGTCATTTTGAATTGGTCCAACCTGCAAGTGCAGGTGGTCCAGCAAGGCAAGTTTATCTCAAGGTAAGTACTGAATCGACAGCAGCAGCCACCACTGGGCTTCAGTGCGGCATAATTATCTTGACGTGTTCAGAGGAGTCAGTGCCAGCAATAGGATGCATGGAAAGTGACTTCTGAATTTTTCTCATTCACCTTTGGTTAACAAGCATCACAAAATATGCAGCAAAGTAAAGCATGGAAATATAGGCTGTTAGACCTTTAAAATATGTCCTTTAAAGTGAGCTCCAAAGTTTCTCTCTTACCCCAGCATATAAAAAAGACCACACATTTGGTAAGTTACAAAATAAGTTTCCTTACAAACTCTCCAAAGGTCAGATCCGTGTGTTTCAGAAAATTGCACAGGCAGTAAAACAGGGCATAGTTATGAAATGGTGAAAGTTTCTAAATTATTGGTATAGGAACTTGAGAGTGGTTTGTGAGAGCCATGCGGTCTGAACTGGAGCAGCCAGATCAGATGTTCTCACATGGCGAACTCAATAGGAACAAAGACTTGTTCCTATTGAGGAACTGACTACCTAGTTCCTCCCAAGGTGAGCTAAGCCTGGCAGGACAGCTTACTATATGGTCTTTTACACCTTCATGCATTAATCAGACTTCAAGCATATTGGTTATTTGAAGCTGGTTATCCCATACCTAGAAAGAGGCGTTTTTTAGAGAGAGAGAAAACTTTTTTTCTTAAATGCTCCTATAGAGTTGGCTCATGAAGTACAGTAATGAAAGAAAGCCAGGGCAGCTTTAGTGTCCACCAGCACAGTTTAGGGGGGGAGAGCTTTGAATTGAAAAGGAGTCCCTGATTAATTGGGCAGCAGATTTCTGAAAACAAAGTTGGCATTTTAAAAGACTTACCGTATCCCCTCTTTTTCCTCATGCATCAGGGAATGCATCTTTTAAAATGCTATTGCACATGTGCTTCATCTGAAAACAAAGAAAATAACGCTCCTTCAGGCATACCATGTTTACCGTATTTGCAAATGTATGCAGATTTAATAAATAGGTTAACTAAGTAATAACTCAATGTTAGAAATGTAATTTGTTCTAGCCACAGAGAACATCAAATGAGTTAGATGGCGGCCAACCCACTTCTATTTCCTGCTAATCAAGAGGTTTGCCTTGCTCTCCTCTTTTCATTGGAAGTCAAGACTGGTGATTTCAAAACAAGCAGATTTTGTTGGAGCAGTTTCTTAGCTCTTCTCTCACCCCCCACAGTGATGTTAGTGCGTACAGAGTGCCGGTGTCTAACAAGTACCACTGAAACTGCAGTTGGCCTTAGAAGGGCAGCTGCTTATGTTTCTAGGCCAAGGGCAAGTGGCTTTCAGAGGGCAATTTTATCCAGGCTAGCATGGGGTGAAGGTAAAATTCCCTCCCATCTGCTGTGGTTGCGATCTTGGCGGTGGGCGTGCAGTATAGCTGCTACAGTGGTGCCCCGCAAGATGAATGCCTCGCAAGACGAAAAGCTCGCTAGACGAAAGGGTTTTCCGTTTTTTGAGTCGTTCCGCAAGACGAATTTCCCTATGGGCTTGCTTCACAAGATGAAACGTCTTGCGAGTTTGTTTCCTTTTTCTTAAAGCCGCTAAGCCGTTAATAGCCACTAAGCCGCTAATAGCCGTGCTTCGCAAGACGAAAAAACCGCAAGACGAAGAGACTCGCGGAATGGATTAATTTCGTCTTGCGAGGCACCACTGTATTCAAAAACACTGCGGATGCAGCTCTGAAGATGTAATTGAATATATAGTCTGGCAGTCAAGATAGGCTAGAAGAATTACTTGGCTTCTACCCACTAAGAATAAAACAACTTTGTAGATCAGGGCCACAAGGAACTGGTGGTCCTCTAGCTCAGTGTTTCCCAACCGGTGTTCCGCGGCACACGAGTGTGCCGTGAGACGTTGCCTCGTGTGCCGCGAGATGCCTGGAGGGAGGCGGGCGAGTCGGGCGGCGAGAGGCGGGGCGGCGGCGGCGAGGAGAGGCCGCGCCTCCTGCTGCTGCCTGGCGCTCCTCCTCGCAGCCGGCAGCGCTGCCTGGGCGCCTCCGCGCGACTCTGCCTCGCTGGGTTTGGTCTCCCAGCAGAGACGGGTCACACGCGCCCCTCCCTCCCTCCCTCAGCCTGCGCGGAGGGAGAGCCAGAGAGAGGCATCGCTCCTGCGCGGCGGGAGAGGGAGCAGCCGGAGCGATGCCCCAAACGAACGCATGGGACCGGAGGGGAAATCCTCTCCGAGGCGGATTGAGCGCAGCTGAGAGAAGCCTTTCGAGGAGCTGCCGTGTCCCCTGGAAACCCCCTTCCCAGCTCTGCCTCAGCCGCCGCCGCCTCAGTTGCCGCCGTCCCTCAGTCCCTCGCTCTGCTGCCTCCTCCCACCCCCAAAGCTTGGAGGTTCCCCAGCAAGGGGGAGGGAAAAAACTTTCACTTTTGTGCGTCCCTCCCGGCGTGACGCTGCGCGCTGACGTCACGGGGCGGGGCTTTAATGGTGGTGTGCCGCGAGATTTTTTTTCAGTAAACAGGTGTGCCGTTGCCCAAAAACGTTTGGGAAACACTGCTCTAGCTATTGGTGTCGGGCAAGTCCATCAACTCCAACTGGCATGGACAATCGGGTGCTGGGAGTTGTTGATCGACCAGAATGGGTTTCCCATCCATGTTGCAAATGGTTCTGGAAACTGAGCAAGTACTTGTGTCCTTTTCAAATGGGATTTTTTTCTTTCCATTTTCCACTCCCATCATAATGCGTGGTGCTCTATTTTGTTCTGCACTGGCACAATGCAGAGGAACAGCAGAAACTTAAGTTGCCACTGCATTAGCGGTATAAATAGGACAGGAATGAAGTGCACGATTGCCTAAGGTGCAAATTAACTGGTGCTGTTTGAGAAAACAGGTGTGAATTCCACATGGTTGGCACACCATGAAATAGCAGCAGACCTTGCAAGAAAGTGATGGGGCGACTGACTGCAAGTCTGGTCTTTGTACCACTCCACTGTTAGGACTTGAGCACCACGGTGTGTTCTCCACGCTTTTAAATCTAGAATAGCTCAGGTGTCCCTATAGTTTTAGGGACCCCCAGCTGGCAGAGCAATCTTGGCCCTCCAGAAGATCCAATTTGGTTAATGAGGCCATTTCCACAGAACCACACTCCTCTGCTGTTGTCCTGGTGATATGTGCTGGTGGATGTGGCTCAATTCTTTGACGGCTGTGCCCATTACCCTTTCCATTTGGCCGGGCCCTGCAGTTCCCCTGATGGGGACTGCTGTATGCAACCAAAGCAGCAAGATCAAACAATGCTCATCAGCTGATTCTAAGGGCAGCAAATTGTTTTGGTAGCAAGTGGAACTATGCATGTGACTGGCATAGTAACTTTGTATGTATTGCACCACAAGTAACCAGTCCAAAAAGCCTTTGGAAGGGATGGTGTTATCTCACTTAGGTGCCTATTTTTTTTAAAGAGATGCTATACAGAATGGACTTGGCTAGGGGCAGGAGACAGAACCCACCTGTGGCTTTTGTGTCAGGTCTCCTGCATCTACAGCTGTAAAGAGAACTCTGAAGCTGTAAAAGTTCAATGGCACTTGAACACATTCATTAACAGCCGGTTAAGGGACAATTCACGGTGCTGACGGTTTCGAGATATAACAGACCTGGGAAATGTCTAACACATCTCCCAGTTGTTACCTTGAAAATAGCCCATGAACCCTTTTTAGGAGGTTTGGAAAAGTTTTGTTGTAGCACCCAGATGCTTGGAGCCTTAATGTAATGTGCTTCCAATCTACAATGCTGGACGATGGGTCATAATGGAGCCACCAGATGGCAGCACATTATTGGCATAGATTTGGGATTAAATCTGATATAGATGGAACTAGGGTTGCCATATTTCAAAAAGTTGTTGAGCTTTGGGGGGGGGGAATAAATGACACTTCTGATGGGGTGCCATATGCCCAGACGCCGTTTTCAACAGATGAATCCTGTGTATGTCCGGGAAATTCCGGCCATATCGTAGCCCTAGATGGGACCAAAGAGTACAAGAGTACAGTGGTACCTCGGGTTACATACGCTTCAGGTTACATACGTTTCAGGTTACAGACTCCGCTAACCTAGAAATAGTACCTCGGGTTAAGAATTTTGCTTCAGGATGAGAACAGAAATCGTGCTCCGGCGGCGCGGCAGCAGTGGGAGGCCCCATTAGCTAAAGTAGTGCTTCAGGTTAAGAACAGTTTCAGGTTAAGAACGGACCTCCGGAACGAATTAAGTACTTAACCCGAGGTACCACTGTACTTCAAAAGTTGTTGCCGCAAGCATTTTAATTTTCCTAAGGTCTTCTATGAAAATGAATGTTAATAGCAACCAAAGGTACTGTACATTAGAATGCTAAACAAAGGGAATGCACAACAGCTCAATGCAGCGGCAAGGAACCTGTAGCCCTCAACAAGTTGTTGGACTCCAGTTCCCATCAGCCCCAGCTAGCCTAGCTGCCTAGCCAAAGCTCAGGAGTTATGGGAACTGTAGTCCTGCAACATCTGGCGAGCCACAGGCTTCCCATCCTTGGACTCCTTAATGGATTCCCTCCCCACCGTTTGTGCAGAAGCTTGGAGGTTCCCAAGCTGTTCCAGTGAAAACTGTCCTACCAACCCCATACATACTAATTTGTGATCCAGCACTGCCTCTGTTTCTTGGTCAACAAATCTGTTTAAGAGAAAACTCGGGTGGAGTTTTCTTTCTACCCAAGGCGGAAAATCTGGTTTTTCTTGTTAAAGCTAGATAAATGGGCTTGGCCGCCAGGCACCACCATAGTAATGCGTAGGCGATGTCAGAGAAAACAGAGTAATGAGAAAACTGTAGCAATGAGTAGGTGATGGCAAGGAAACAGGCTGGGAAGAACTTTGAAAGGTTCTCTACAGTTCATATGCCTTCTCTCCAGTCTTTGGATATTTAAACCCACCCTCTTATTCAGAATTTACCCATTAATTTTGGTTCTGCTGCCAATTCAGCACTGACAATGCTGGTAAATAGATCTTCATGTGCAATAGCATGCACCCTGCTGCTACATGTGAGCTCTGTAGAAAAGGGTACCAAGTCACTTGCATTAAAACAGAGCGTGGCATTGTTGACTCACCTCCTAAAACCACAATTGAATGACCATTAGAACTAAATGGCAGCAGTTCTTGAACATTGGGTGGTGTTAATGGGGTAAGGTGGATGCAGTTGGCCCCATAATTCCCATGTGGATCAATGCAGCTGTTCTAGCAAGAGCTCGCCATCACCTTTCCAGGCTGCTGAGAGGAGGATGGCCTTAGAAACTTATGCACTGGGAAATGATATACAATTAATTGAAGAGGATGTTCAAAATAACTTTTGTAAAATAAAAATAAAAATCAGAAGCTTTTCTTTTGGGAATTATACGGACAGAACTACCTAAATTGTAAAGGTAAAGGTACCCCTGCCCGTACGGGCCAGTCTTGCCAGACTCTAGGGTTGTGCTCTCATCTCACTCTAGAGGCCGGGAGCCAGCGCTGTCCGCAGACACTTCCGGGTCACGTGGCCAACGTGACAAGCTGCATCTGGCGAGCCAGCGCAGCACACGGAAACGCCGTTTACCTTCCCGCCAGTAAGCGGTCCCTATTTATCTACTTGCACCCGAGGGTGCTTTCGAACTGCTAGGTTGGCAGGCGTATACAAATTGTATACTACTACAGTTGCTATACTACTACAGCAGCAAGAATGCTACTTGCCCCAAAGTGAAAAGAAGCAGAAGTCCCAGCAAAGGAAGAATGGATACAAAAACTTATGGAACATGCAGAAATGGTGAAACTTACCGGAAGAATAAGAAATCAAGACAAGAAACTTTTTGTAAAAGAATGGAAATGGTTTATTGTATATTTGCAGATAAATTGCAAATAGATAGAAACATTGGCAGGATTTTTGTAATAACCTGCAGTTTCATAAGAGTGTATATTTAAAGTAGATAATTAAATGAGCAAATTAAATGAATTTGGATATGCTGAAAATATTAAAAAATAAATTCAGGGAACCGCAGAGAGAAGGGGAAGGAAGTCAAGTTTTGAAATGTTAAAATGATTCTAAAACTAATGAAATGTATAAACTTGAAAAGTATAAATAAAAACTTTTTTTAAAAAAAAGAAACTTATGCACCTCAGAGACACTGCATCCTCCTGCTCTGGGGTGTTGTGCCCCTATAATTTGAGAACCACTGCTGTTGTTGAAATGCATGTCACAATTATTCTGCATACAGAAGCATGACTTATGGTACCATGCTTAAAATAATATGATTATCATTATAATAGGGTTCATTACACTTGGCTTTTTTAACATTATCAGTAGAGGTCTCCGCTTTGGAGAGTTTAACACTGATGGGTGGTAGATGCTGCCCATCTGGTAATGTCAATGTGTAGAGTCATCTCTTGTGTTGTTGGAAAAGAGTGTTTGTGATGACCAGCTTGTTCTCTTGACAGAGCTCTATTAGCCTTTGCCCTGCTTCGTTTTGAACTCCAAGGGAGCTGGACCATAATGAAGGCTGATCGCCGAATAATTGATGCTTTTGAATTATGGTGCTGGAGGAGCCGCTTGCGAGTCCCATGGACTGCAAGAAGATCAAACCTCTCCATTCTGAAGGAAATCAGCCCTGAGTGCTCACTGGAAGGACAGATCCTGAAGCTGAGACTCCAATACTTTGGCCACCTCATGAGAAGAGAAGACTCCCTGGAAAAGACCCTGATGTTGGGAAAGATGGAGGGCCCAAGGAGAAGGGGACGACAGAGGATGAGATGGTTGGACAGTGTTCTCGAAGCTACCAGCATGAGTTTGACCAAGCTGCAGGAGGCAGTGGAAGACAGGAGTGCCTGGCGTACCCTGGTCCATGAGGTCACGAAGAGTCGGACATGACTAAATGACTAAACAACAATGCACAATCAGGATTGCATATTAAGGCTCCCGATTGTACATTGGCAGAGACATCTGCCACACACCTGATGTCACATGAGACATTGCTTTGGGACGGGTTAAGTGTCAGCCTCATGGGCCAAATTCAAACTCCTGGGGGGGCCAGATGTTCCCCGCCCCATTTTAAATCATGGGGCAGGAAGAGATGAAGGTGATCAGGTACATTTGCAGAAACCTCAAACATAATGAGAGAGAAGTAATTTTTACATCATGGATTGGTAGGTATTTCCATGCAGGATGAAGCAAGAGTTAGCAAAAGTCTTCTATCCCCAAACCTTATTATTCCCTAAATAGTCTTCACAGAATCGAGCTTCCTTCTCCTTGCTGCTTATGAAGGCTTGTTAGATTGCCAGCCCTCTTCTGTCAACTCCAGAAAAGGAGGGAGATAATGGGGATTGTGCGGGGGTTGGTATTTAAATTTTATTTTTGTGGTTATTACAGGGTGAGTACAGAATCATGAGACCTGATAAAAAGCACAAGATCTGGCAGCCTAATGGAAAAAGGGGGATATAAAGGGTTCTCTAAGAAGAGATCTGACCTGGCATACTACAAAGCAGCTTTTTGTCCATCTAACTCGCCGCTCTTTACATTTTACAGCACATTGTTTCCCTCAAAGAATTCTGGGCAGTGTAGTTTGCTGGGAATTGTAACTCTGTGAGGAGCAACTCCACTACTGAGAAAGGTTGCAGTATTTCAGACTTTTAGTTTAGGGAAAACTTCTGCCACATGAAAGAAGCTTATAAAATTACACAAGGCATGGAGAAAGCAGAGAGAGGTTTTTCCTCTCTCATAACACTAGAATTCATGGACAGTCAATGAAGCTTATTATTGGAAGATCTGGGACTTGCAAAATAAAGTCTTCCATCACGCAGCACATAGCTAAACCAATGGAAGTTGCTCCCAAAAGAGGCACTGATGGCCACAAACTTTGAAATGGCTTTGAAAGAGGTTTGGACAAATCCATGGACAAGAAAACTATCAATACCTGCTTGTCATGATGACTTGGCTTTGCCTTTAAAGTGGTACCTCGGGTTACAGACGCTTCAGGTTACGCAATTTCGGGTTGTGCACCGCGCCGAATCCAGAAGTACCGGAACGGGCTACTTCTGGGTTTCGGCGCTTGTGCATGTGCAGAAACACTAAATTGTGCTTTGCACATGCACAGAAGCACCGAATCGTGACCTACACATGCGCTGCGGGTTGCGAATGCTGCGGGTTGCGAACATGCCTCCCGCAAGGATCACATTCACAACCCGAGGTTCCATTGTATGGTCAAAGGCAGCAGCACTTCTGATTCTATCTTCTGGAAACCTTGGGAGGGGAGAGGACTCTTGTGCTTGCAGGTTTCCCACAGGTACCTGGGTGGACAATGTGAAGAACAGAAGGCTGGACTCAGTGGGCCAGCAGGCTGTTCTTATGTACATGATTCTTCTGACACTTGGTTATCTCCAACCTTTTTGCCATCGTGGAGCTTACAGTAGCATAGAGCAGATTTCTAAGGTGTCTCCCATCCTGACACGGACCAGACCAAGACCTACTTAGCTTCTGTAAGGTAGGGTTACCAGATGTCCCCGGTTCCCAGGGAATGTCTCCAGATTTGCAAATCTGTCCCCAGGAAATGTGGCAGCGGCAGCCTCAGCAGCCCGGAGCCAGCCTGGTAGCACAGTTGGCTCTGGCTGGCTTCAGGAGCTGCTCGCTGCCATGGCGTCCGCCATTTTTCCTTGCTGGAAGTCCCCCTATGATGTGAGCAACACATATGCAACTATAATATAATATGCATATTACAACTATAATTTCCAGCTGCACTGGCTCCTGGTGGAGTACAGGGTCAGATTTAAGGTGCTGGTTTTGACCTTTAAAGCCCTTCACGGCCTAGGACCCTCGTACCTACGGGACCGCCTCTCCTGGTATGCCCCACGGAGAGCCTCAAGGTCCATAAATAGCAACACCCTAGTGGTCCCGGGCCCTAAGGAAGTTAGATTGGCTTTAACCAGAGCCAGGGCCTTTTCAACTCTGGCTCCAGCCTGGTGGAACGCTCTGCCTCATGAGACCAGGGCCCTGCAGGATCTGATTTCTTTCCGCAGGGCCTGTAAGACAGAGTTGTTCCGCCTGGCCTTTGGCTTGGAGCCAGTTTGATTCCCTCCCCCTCTTTCTTTTTTCTTTTTCCTTTCTCCTCCTGTGATGAGGCTGCATTTTAATATTTTAATGTTTCAATATTTTAATTGTTGTATTTTAATCTTGTTTTTAAGTTGTATTCATTCCAACTTGTTTTTATTATTGCTTGTTAGCCGCAGTGGCGTAGCGTGGGGGGTGCAGGGGGGGGCCATCCGCACCGGGCGCAACATCTGGGGGTTAGGGTTAGGGGGCGCAAATCCACGGGTTAGGGGGCGCAAATTACTTGCCTTGCCCCGGGTGCTGACAACCCACGCTACGCCACTGGTTAGCCGCCCTGAGCCCGGCCTTGGCTGGGGAGGGTGGGGTATAAATAATAATAATAATAATAATAATAATAATAATAATAATAATAATAATTAATTTTATTATATCTACCTGTGTCTATCTCGTAGCATTTAAAGCAGTTACATCCATTTCCCCCCAGCGCCACCCACATCTGTGGCACGTGGGAATACGCTGCAAGAAGCTGTCGTTTGTCCTCCATTTCCCACCATGCAATTCTCAATGGGCAAAAGCAACTAACTATGAAAGAACTTCAAGACTTTGGCTGAATCACTGGTGGGGAACCTCTGGAGGACCACAGGTTCCCTACTCCTGTTCTGCAACGGAACAAAAAGACTTGCTTTTGCTTGTTTTGTTTTTGCTTTCCCTTATGTTTGTCACCTCCTGCCTAAGTCTTGGCCCATCACTGCTGCCTGCAGAGCAAGTTTAGTTAATGGATAACGCAAGCTGTTATCCTTTGGGTGACGCAGGCAGGGAGGGAAACTCTTGCAACTGTGATTCATGGAGAGGGGGGGGGTTAGCTTTTTCGTTGACCGTTTCATCTGTGATGCCGCACATGAGATTCAAAAGTGCTGGGGACTGTGTTTACTGATGCTTATGCCCGCAGAGTAGTGGTGGAGCTGAAGTGTTTCCCTGTGCGGGCAAGACTCCAAAAGGAGTCTGCAGCAGATTGCAAGCAGACAGTCGCAGTCATGTCTAGGACACCCTCGAGCTGCCTCTCCTGAACTCTAAGCACGGCTGCAGCTGCCATCAGTCGGCAAGATGGCATCTGTCTTAATTACACCCCAGGAGGTTTTTAAGGTAGCGCCAAGGCTCTTGCTGGTGCATAGGAGTTTAATTCTATTTAGACAGTTGTACTTAGATCTGCAGTATAAATTAGGAGAGTGCCTTCCATACCTTTCCCCCCTAATAATAACAGATTAAAGTAGATGGTATAATAAAATGCAACAGCAACTTAACCAGGGGAACAAATTATCTAAGTCCTAGGAAAATGTAAAGGGCAATGGAAAATATATCACAGTCAGCACTGTGGTGTCACCACAGAGAAGACCCTGGTCTCTGATCATCATTGGTGCTAGCTCTAGTGGAACTGGAGAAGGGTCTGTGAGGGAAGGTTTAAACTTAAAGGATACATCTGAATCACGATTATACCATTTTAACAGTAATGTCTTCCCCCAAAGAATGCTGAGAACTGTAGTTTGTTAAGGGGCTGAGAGTTGCGTTGAGGCTCCCTATTTCCCACCCTGAATTAAATTCTCAGGGTGATTTAACAATCAATTCCTCTTCACGTGGAACTTGGGGAATTTGTAGGTCTGGGAAGGGAACAAATGCAATATATATTTCGCAATAAAATACAACCATATATAAATATCAGACAACATGCAATATGTAATGAAACAAAAACCAATGAAGTCAGTCACCTTAACTAATCAGTTCACAATTACTGGGCCATGAAAGTATTTCGAAACAGACAACTCTGTCATGTGCCCATGGAAGTTTATTAGCCTGTGGTTTGCTGTGGGGCCTTTGGGGTGTGTTGTGCTTGTAGGAAAACGAGTGGGAGATATTACTAAGGAGAATGAGGCTGCTAACACACATTGTATTCTACAATTACTGGCACTGGGTACTTGTTTCCCCCCCTACATAGTCCATGCACAGTCTAAATCAATTGCCTGCTTTTTGCCCCTGAAAAGCACTTCTTGAGAAACTGCTTTCATTCCGAAAATAAAAGCTCACTGCAGATGATTCCACATTACCAGATTCTGGCAAGAAGTGTGGAGCCATCCCTGCCCCGTGACATTGTGGGCGGTTGTATACCGAGATCACAAGCTCTGCTTTCTCCTCCCGTCACCTGGGTCGTGTACAGGGAGGAAAGGTGCGGAAAGCCTAATAAGGGGCAGGTTAATGCATTATCAAGTAACCTTGCACGCCCTTGTGGACGGCAGGATCTAGAATCAATCTAGGCTGAAAGCGGCACAAACAATTCCGGGCTGAGAAAAGCTGTGTTTTTGTGCTGCAAGGGGGTTCAGCATGCATAAAGCAAGTGACTTTTGTCATCGGGTCAAGGATGGAGGAAAGAACCACACCTTTGTCTCAGATGGTCACTGTGTGCCTGACCTTTGTCAGCGGTGCCCAGTGCATGATGATCTGGCTGGGTCGCTGTGACCAGCCAGGGATTCAGGGAGCCCGTAAGGCGGTTTTGCTAATGAGCGCAGCAAGGACCTAGGACAAGGAGAGGCAGCCCGCACAGTGCCCTGCTGTCACCATGGCAACAGCAGTTCATCCCGTCTGCAGGAGGGGAAACGGGAGGCACAAAAGCATGATCTCACAACAGATCGACCTCTTCGCCAGCCAGTTCCGTCTTCTCTGACTTAGTAACAGTGCCAGCCATGCTTTTTTCCCCCAGTGTGTGTGGCAGGGAGGGGAGTCCCAATTTAGTTTTGATTACGCACCAGTAGCCAATTGCATACCTCCTGACTGGAGATGAAAGAATAAATTCAAGACGTGGTACATATCTTCAGAATGTATATAAAGTCTAGGTGCATTTTTAAGGGTAATATCTGCTATATATATTATGGGAAATGGCTTGTCTGTTTGCTTGTTTGTTCTCTGTGCTTTCGGACACCTCTTGCGAAAGTTGGCTTGAGGGCTCCCAAGATGGGGGTGGTGTTTACTGTTGACCTTGAGCTACTGGCCGCCATTTTGAATTAAGGTAGCGGATTGAAACGCAACTTTGGCAGGACTTTACCTACCGGTAATTTTTGGCATGACAGATGCAAACTGACAAATTACATCCTCTGTTTAAAAATCAAAGATTAGTTTTGGTTTCTAAAAATTTCCAGTCAGAGCCAGGAACCCCCCCCCCAATAGTTACATAAAAGGTATAGGTAAAGGTACCCCTGACCGTTAGGTCCAGTCACGGATGACTCTGGGGTTGCGGCACTCATCTCACTTTACAGGCCGAGTTACATAAGTTACATATAAATTCACTGCCAATTAGCTGCCAAGTCAGGGTGCAATTTTTCATGTAAAGGTAAAGGTAAAGGTAAAGGGACCCCTGACCATTAGGTCCAGTCGCAGACGACTCTGGGGTTGCGGCACTCATCTCGCTTTATTGGCCAAGGGAGCCGGCGTACAGCTTCCGGGTTATGTGGCCATCATGACTAAGCTGCTTTCTGGCGAACCAGAGCAGCGCACAGAAACACTGTTTACCTTCCCGCCGGAGTGGTACCTATTTATCTACTTGCACTTTGACGTGGTTTCGAACTGCTAGGTGGGCAGGAGCAGGGACCGAGCAACGGGAGCTCACCCCGTCGCGGGGATTCGAACCGCCGACCTTCTGTTCAGCAAGTCCTAGGCTTTGTGGTTTAGACCACAGTGCCACCCGTTTTTCATGTATTAAGCACTATATAGCCTGTAAGCAGGATACCTGAAATATCATCTCACATGTACTCTGTAGGAGGCCCATTCCACACACTGTAGGGACTGAGCCTTTCATGTTGCGGCACCAAGCCTTTAGCTTCCTCTCATGTTAATATTAGACAGGCGCTGTCTCGATTTCCCTTTCGGTGCCTACTGAAAACCTTCCTCTTTGGCATTACAAAATTATATTAGAATTGTCAGAGGAAAGAAGAAAAACAAAGCAACATTATCATATACGTAATCGCCACACGCAATGAAATTACTGTGTATGATGATTGAAGGTTTCTGGGTGGGGTGGGATCCCTAGAACTTATGGGTCCTCATGCCACATTCTGCCTAGCAGAATGTACACATGCAGCTTAAAATAGTCAGCCCTCTCCACCGTTGTTCATTAGGGCAAGCAAGTGAATATCTGGCGTTATTAGCTACTGCATTACAATTTGCATTTATTACCGTATGTCACAATTGTAAAGGATCATGGATGAGCACCTCCTTTGCATGTAGAAGGTTCAACTGCTGGCCTCTTCAGGTAGGGTTGGGAGAGACCCCTGTCTGAAACCCCAAAGAGCTGCTCTCAATCAGTGTAGACAATGCTGAACCAGATGGGGCAGTGGTCTAAGGCTGTGTGTTGTTGTCTGTCTGTCTGTCTGTCTGTCTATTTATATCCCGCCCACCTGGCTGGGTTTCCCCAGCCACTCTGGGTGGCTTTCCGCAAAATAAAAAAAATAACAAAATATCAGACATTGAAAAATGTTCCTCCTCCCTCACCTCATCTGCCCACAGCTATCCCAGACTAAAAATCATTTCTGAGGACATGCCGATACTTGCCTTACCGCTGTGGTGGCATAAACCAGTCATTAGTGGTTGTGGGAAGGCTTGGCATGTCACCGTGCCAATGATGACGCATGCTTTTCCTGGTTTCTCCTACCTCTGAAAACGGTGCCTCGCAGCAAGCTCCTCATTTGGTCCTCACGACAGCCCTGTGGTGTAGGTTAGGCTGAGACACAGTGACTGGTCGAAGGTGACTCAGTGAGTGTCATGGCCCAGTGGGGATTTGCACCCTGGTCTCCCAGGTCACAGTCTAACGCTCTGGCCACTCCACCCACACCAACCACAGTCTATTTGGACAGCAACTGTCTAGGGATCATGGCCTCAGGCCGAGAAACAGATCTTTCTTATCACCTGTGCTGCTACCTGATCCTTTTAGCCAGGGATGAACTTGTGAACTTCTGCACGCAATGGATATCTTTTGCTATGTATTCAGTGGTCTGAGTTTGCCTGAGCTTGAGTCTGGACTAAGGATTCTAAGCTCCTGTGTTCTGATTCGATTCACAATGTCCAGTCACCAAACATTTCAGGATTTGGGCCTCTGCCATTGGCCCTTGAACTCGTGATTTGAGTCGTGATTTGTAGCTTGGAAGTTTAGACAGCCAATCACATTAGGAATGGGAGTGGCCCAGGCTTTCAGGAATGTTTATAAACAGTTGCTGTGCCCCTGTTTCCCAGTTTTGTACAGTGGTCTCTCGGGTTAAGAACTTAATTCGTTCTGGAGGTCCGTTCTTAACCTGAAACTGTTCTTAACCTGAGGTACCACTTTAGCTAATGGGGCCTCCTGCTGCCGCTGCACCACCGCCACATGATTTCTGTTCTCATCCTGAAGCAAAGTTCTTAACCTGAGGTACTATTTCTGGGTTAGCGGAGTCTGTAACCTGAAGCGTCTGTAACCCAAGGTACCACTGTAGTTCAATAAAGGTTCTTGCTGTTATCACTGTGTCTTGCCTCATGGGAACCCACCTACACTTCATCTTTTACCACTGAGCTATGGCCCTTCCCCCTAAATTTAACAGCTACATCAGGCAGACAGG